ATGCCCAAGGGATAGGGACACAACAGGTGGTCAAAGCCAGAAGAAGGTACAAGTAACAGCAACTCTGCCTTGACTAGCAAGCATATGTACCTCACATGTAGGAATTAGACAGGTAGAGTCAGCTTCAGGCACAGAGTGAGCAAGGCACTAGCTTACTTTCTTTGCCACTCTTTGGCTTTGACCTTTCCCACGTGTTAGTGGTGTCTCAAGGGTGGCCTTCCTCGAGATTGCAAGATGCCGATAGCAAGTGGAATGGTGACACCCCAAAAGATATGCCCATGCCCTGGTATTTATGACTTTATTTGAGAAAAGGGTCTTTGAACACATAATTAAGGATCTCCAGTTGCGATGGTCCAGATTGACAGGGTGGGCCCTAAATCCAATGGCAAGTGTCATTATAACAGACAGAAGGGGAGACAAAGGCACAGAGGAGAAGGCCAGGTAAAGACGGGCAGAGATCAGAGTGGCGCAGCCGCTAACCCAGGATTACCTGCAACCACAGAAGGTGGAGGAGGCAAGAAAGGAGGAGCACGGCCATGCCGACACCTTGCTTCTAGACATCTGGCCTCCAGAACTGCAAGAGAATAAGTTTGTTGTTTTAAGGCACCATTTTGTGGTAATTTGTGATGGAAGTCTCAGGAAACAAGTACACCTGCTATGCCAGGAAGTCATGAGCTTCCTGCTCTTGAGCAGCCTGGCCCGTGCGACTCTCCGGTGGGAGTGAAGAAGTTACTTTCCCGTAACAGGCCATTCTTCACAGCTCCCTGGCTAACATTAGCCCAGCCTTGTCCCTGAATCGGCACGGGCAAGGGGCTCAGACCGTGTTGCATGGCTTCCACCCGTCTCCCGGGTGGACTGGGAATAACCACTGGTCACCTTCTAGACAGCGGAGCCTCCCGCCCTGCGTCTCCCTCGAGGGTGGCTGGCGCAGACACCACCCGGCCTGGGCCACTCTACACAACCAGTGTGTGGCGCGAGGGGGAGAGGGTCCTTCCGGTTCAGGCCACTGCAGTTTTGGGGTTGTTGCTCCAGCCGACCTAACTAATGTGAGGGGCAGATCGCCGAAGCCATCTGGAAGGACTGGCAGAGTTTTGACAGGAAGATGTGTGAGATATTCCAGGCAGGCAGAACTGCAGGGGCAGGAAAGGACATGGTATGTCCAGGGAAAGGCGGTGGCTGCAAATGCAGACACAAGTGCTGGAAAGGAAGAGAAGAGCCCAACAAGGGAGGGACAAAAGCTCCCCAGGACAGAACTAGGATGTGAGCAGAGAAATTTAGGAATCTGTTGCCAAAATCCGAGCAAGAATGACAGGACCTCACCCCAAAGTAGAGTGGTGAAAATGATGATATTGGTGGTGGTGCTAGTGGTCATAGTTACCACTTATTAAGGCCTTGTTACGTGCCAGGGACTGTGCTGAAGGCTTTGTCTTCATACCCAGGTGGAGAGGGGGGTCGCGGCTAAGGGTTAGTCGGCCAGCGCGGGTACGACATAGCTTAGCACTGCGCTCTGGCCTGAGCACTCCACTCTGTCTCCATAGACTTTTCCCCGCACGCCCTGGCCCGCCAGGAGGGGGGTCGCCCTGAGCTCTAGTGAGGGTGTCACTAGGCTGGTGACCACTGGGAAGGAGATGGACCCAGGGAGGACGAGCCCAGGCCCACAGGGTCACAGTCCAAGCAAGTTGCCCTCCTCTGTCCTGAGAGGAGGTGGGCTGCTCTAAGACCCTCCTTGGGAAGAGGAAGACTGTGCTTCTCTGTTGAGGGGACTGGTGATCTGGTCATGGCTTTGGTGTCCTGGGATACCTTCAAAGAAGCAGACCTGGTGAGATAGCATGAAAACCTCCTGGGTGTCCTTCAAGGAACATTATTCCACAGGGTGGGAATATGTTGCTCCAACGAGAGGCACAGACACAAGCAAGATAAGGGCTGTATTGGCTCCTATCGCCGAAAGGTCCATGGGCAGGTGTGGCTTCAGGCTGAGCTAGGACCCTGGGCTTTAGGGATCAGAAATCCATCCCTCCTGCCCTCAGTCCTTCCTGGCTTTGGATTTTCCCCAGTTGGCATCAAGGCTGACCCTGGTAGCTCAAAGCCATCTTGGTCTTTGCAGCCAGCGATCCCAGTGAAAAAGAGGGTGCCTCTTTCCCAACAAAGTCCCCGCATTGGCCCTCGTTGGCACAGCATGGGCAGTGCCTAGCTCAGCCACCAGGGGTAGGACCAGCTGCACCAAAGGGCATGAACTAAGTATGGTGAAAGGTGGTATCTGTGGCTGGGTTCCCCCGGAGACAGACACCGAGACAGGGTTTGAGGGCAAGTCCTTTGTTTGGGAGGCGATCCCAGAAAGCACTGCAGGCACATGAGGAAGAGAGGCACGAAAGGAAAGGGGACAACAGAGGGTGACTTCCTGAGCAGGTCACAATTTGGGCAGTTGGGACTCAGTTCCACCAACGCCCTCGGGGACATTGTGTAGAAGAAGTTTCGGGGCATGTATTCACCAACAGTATGATTGATCTCTGGTTGAAAACTGCTCCTGGGGGCATTAACTCCCCAGCACGCCTCACCTGCTCCACGCACCTGCACTGAGCATGCTTCTGTGGCCAGAGAGCGCCTGCAGGTGGGTGCTCGCAGTAAGAAGTCATCAGTACATTTGGGAACCTGAGTGTGGAATAAAAGTGGGCAGACCATGGTGGTCTCTGGGGGAAAAGAGGAGGCTCTTGCCAAAAGAAGGGGGCCCTTGGAAAAATCTGTGAGGCAGGCAGAATAAGTATTATCCCCACTTCAGAGAACAAGAAGCTGAGGCTCAAAGAGGTCCCACAGCAGAGCAAGGCTCTGAACCTGGCTTATATACCTCCAGTCTCCTTCCCCTGTTGCTGTCCCACGTGTGACTGAAGGCCCTGGCAGGAAAGTCCTCGCCCAAGGGATTTGTCCCTCCAACTCAGAGCCACATTCCTTAAAGACTCTCCCCGTGGTCCTAAACCTTCCCCCAAATCCAGACCTCACATGGGGTCTGCTGTCAGGATGGTAAGGGGACAGAGGGAGGGGAAGGCGTGGAGCCCCCGGCAGCCAAGTGCAGAAAAGACTCAAAAGAACACTGAACAGTGACCATGACAGCCAGTCACTAGGAAGCCTGGGGAACAATGTCTCGCAGAGTTTCTAGAAGTGTCCATGTGATTGGTTTCACAGTCACTCTATTGAACATGTTTGCACTGTGTCTCTAGAAGGCAAAGTCTTCTCATATTCTAGAACACAGAAACAGCTGCTCCCCTGGACACTCACACTGGCAAATTGCGCAACTCCCTAAACCACATCACCCCAACAGCTCCAACCATCCCCCAACATTGGTATTCAGAGTGTAGATGTACCTCAGTTACAGACAAATAAATTATAATACTTGCATACACCTGTGAAAGTTTGTGGCACACTCCTGTGCCTTTCTATGTTGTGGTAGAAGTTTAGTGTATCTGTGGTCCCCAACCCTGGGCCGGCAGCCTGGTACCGGTCCATGGCCTTTTAGGAAATGTGCTGCCCATCACCGTCTGAGGTCCACACCATGCCCGATCCAACAACACCCCCCAACCCTGATCCCTGGTCCCTGGAAAAATTGTCTTCTATGAAACTGATCCCTGGTGCCAAAAAGGTTGGGGACCACTGTGAGTATATCTTTGGCTCTGAACTGTCTGGGCGTGAATCCTGGCTCTGGTGCTTCCAAGTTTTGTGATCTTGGGCAAGATCCTTAACCTCTCTTGTGCCTTTGTTTCCTCATCTGTAAAAAGCAGATAATAATAGTGCCTACTACTTGGATTGTTTTGAATACTAAATGAATGAATACCCCCCCCCACACATATGTGTGTATATATATATATGTGTGTGTGTGTATATATATGTGTGTGTGTGTGTATATATATATATATATATTTTTTTTTTTTTCTTCCAGACAGAATCTCACTCTGTTGCCCCAGCTAGAGTGCAGTGGGATCATCACAGTTTACTGCGACTTCAAACTCCTGGGCTCAAGCGATCTTCCTGCCTCAACCTCCCGAGTAGCTGGGACTACAAGCATGTGCCACCATGCCCGGCTAATTTTTTCTATATATTTTTAGTTGACCAATTAATTTCTTTCTATTTATAGTAGAGATGGGGTCTCGCTCTTGCTCAGGCTGGTTTTGAACTCCTGACCTTGAGCAATCTGTCCGCCTTGGCCTCCCAGAGTGCTAGAATCACAGGCGTGAGCCACTGCGCCCGGCCTTGAATGAATACATATAAAATGCTTGAAACAGAGCTTGGCACACGGTAAGTGTCCAATAAATGTTACGTATTTTGTATTATTATTAATGAATGAGTGAGTGGGTGGGTGAGTGGTGTGAAAGGTGCCTGGCCCTAAAAGAAAACTGCTATTAGCAGGAGGGGTGTCCTGTGAGGGTTCCTTAAGATTTCTCCTTGTTTTTATTCCTGCACCATCAATCTTTGGTGCACTGGCTGCAATGAAACGTTACTGCTGTTTCCCTATCCAGATGTGGCCAAGAGATGCCAGGCTGTGGAGTGTCTTGCAGAGAAGTTTGAGATTTGCTTAAGTTTCACCCTAAAAGGAAAGAGGGTGGGCAGCCTCCTCCAGGTCAGCCAGGGTCACCAGAGAGAAGGCAATGACCAGCTGCTGTCCCCATCTCTGATAACTCGAGAGGAAACCACCCTGAGCTGAGAGTGCAGGATTTAGGTTAGCTATTGGATCAGACATGCTTTGAGGTCTCCTTCCCTCAAAGCATGTCTGAGAGTCTTCATGAGAGTCTTGAAGATGAGCATAGAGATGTCTCCTATTTCTGGTGCAGACAGCCAACTGTATAGCTGAGGTCTTCACCCTTCCTAACTCTAGTTATCTTGCTGAAACTTGCTTGGCTTATTTTCTTGTGGGGCAGAGGAATCTCCTTATTTTATTTGATCATCACAATAACCCTGTGAGATAGGTACTATTTTATCTATATTCCAGAGTTAAAGAAATGGAAACACCAAAGACGTTAAGTAACTTGCCTGAGGTCACCCAGCTATTAAGTAGAAAAGTCAGGTTTCAAACTCAGGTCTGTGCATCTGATTCCAGAACCCATACTCTGAACTACTGTCAACCAGTAGCCAAAGAGAAGAAAGAACATCTGTAACTCCCTTGGTGCCAGCCTGCAGGGATCTGCTCAGGAGCAATCAGGAAAGAGCTGCCTAATTCACACCCTTAACTCCCTGGCTGCTTCAATTCTTCCCTCAGGCAGGTTGCTAAGAGATACAATGTCCTCAGGAAAGAGGGAGCCCTAAGTTTCCCCAGTTTTGTTAATGTGAGAAAAGATCAGAGAGTTTCCCCAAACAGTTCTGAGTTGGATGACCCAGGGATGGTTGGAGATGCCATGGAGCAGAGAAACAAATACAGAAAGAAATCAGTGTCGAGAAAAGCTAAATTCCCAGTTTGCCAAGGCCTGGCTCTGCCTGGCACAGCCTTGCCAGGGTTCAGGGAGGAAACTGCCTTGGGCACCAGAATCCACGTGCCTCTGCTCCCTGTCCCCCTCCCTGTCCTGCTCAGACACCCCTTCCCAGCCTCCCCAGCCTGCCCAGCCCCTGATCAGAATGCAGCATCACAATGGGCTGTTTTTAATCCTTGCTAGATCTCTTTTATTTTTTTCTCCCTTTGCTGGGCTTCCTGGGCTGTAATTTTTCCCTCTGTGTCATCCATCACAGACACAACCGTCGCTTGTGCAAATTAAAATGCACCTCAGAATAATAAAAAAGGGGCTTTCTTCCCCCCTCCTTTTCCTTCCCAGCAGCAACTCCTCAACACAAAACATTTGTCTCTGGGCAAGAGCAGGAGCACTAATTAACCCTGTGTGTGCCACCACCAGGCCCATATAGTCCCTGCAGCTGTGTGCCAGCAGCGATCGGGGCTGAGGGGCAGCTGGAGAGTGGCAGGGAGATGAGCCTGGTTCCCCAGACTTCACCGCGGTGCTTACCATGTGCCTGGCACTGTCCAAACATTGCCCCTTTAGTCCTCCCTACAACCTGTGGAGCAGGAACCATTATTATCTTCATTTGTAAAATGCAGGAACTGCGGGTGGTTAAGTGACTTGACCAATTAGTCAGTTTCAGCACTGTCTGACTCCAAAGTCCCTACTTTTTGCTACTCCAAGTGTGGTTACACACTACATTTTGGGCTGGATGACCCAAGTGTGGTTCCATGGACGTGGTCCACATGATACCTTGGGCATCACCTGGAAGTTGTTAGGAATGCAGAATTTCAGGCCCTAACTCAGACATACTGAATCAGAATCCACATTTTAACAAAATACCCAGGCAATTCATGTGCACATTGAAGTTTAAGATCTGCTCCCCGTTCCTACCACCTTGATGTCCCTTTTTTGACTTGCCAAGAAAAGCCCTTTTCTGGCGATAGATTAGGAGATTCCATGGACTCAGTTCAAGCATCACCTCCTCCAAGAAGACAGGACCCAGATGGACCTGACCAGGCCTTTCTACCTGGGCCTATTTCCATCACAGTAAGTGTAATAGGTGTTACTTATTTACCTATGTGCCTGCTTCACCTCTGCATGGTGGTTCCTTAAAGCTTGAATTGGACCTTATTGCAATGCCACTACAGTGCCTGGCACCTAACCAAAAAGGCTGACAGTAAGTCTTTATGTGCCTGTGTCTTAATGCTCCTGAACACACAAACACACACATACACACACACACACACATACACACTCACACAACCATATACACTCACACTTTTTTCTAATTATAAAAGTTATACAGTAGGACTTTTGCTTCTGGGAATATGGAGTAGACATACTTTTCTCTATTACTTCCACTAAGGATAACTAGAAACCCTGGAAATTATATAGAAAATAATCCTAAGAAGACTCTGAAAGGTGGAAAGAAGGAGGCAGATCAGCTACGGAGATAGGACCCGAGAAACAAGATGATGGTGAGTTCTCTGGGTTCCCTGTTTGCCTCATCTACCCTAAACTTGAAGCTGAAGAAGCCAACAACCTAGAAATGCTAATAGGCACAGATTTTATAAACCCCCCAAAAGCCGGCTCTCTCTAGCCAAAGGATGGGGAAAGGGTGAACCTAGCAAGACAAAACTTTTAGAATATAACTGCACTATTCTAGTTGAATACCACAGAAAAAAACTCATTCCATATCCCCACCACCACTGGCAAAGGGTAAGTGGGGAGCCAGGTTGTAAGGAGGCACTTTAATCCCACCACCAGGGTGGTGTGACAGAGGCCATGTAGGGAACCCGGACTTTCATCCTTACCGGTTGGTATTGAGGCTCCTCACTCCATGATGTCAGTGGAGGCCACATGGAGGGCAGTAAGGAGGCACTCCTACCTGTCTAGCCAGGGATACCTGGTACCATCCAGAGAGGTATCTGTGGAGGCCTAACAGGGGCCAGAGCTCCCAGCCCCACCCAGAAGTAATGAGGAGCACTGTCTCCCACTCTCACTTGGCAGTATCAAGGGAGCACCCCTTATTCCCCTACCAGAGTGGTGCCAGAAAAAGGTAGTGAAGATTCAAATAAGAACCAGTCTCCTAATATAATACCCACAGCATCCAGGTTTCAATAAAAAGTTATTGTACCAATACCCAGGAAGATCTCAAATTGAATAGAAAAAGACAATCAATAGATGCCAATGCCAAGATGAGAGAAATGTTAGAACTAGCTGACAAAGTTTTAAAGCAGCCATCATAAAAATGCTTCAACAAATAACAAACACACTTGAAACAATTTCTCAGCTAAGAAATTAAAAATATCAGTAAAGTAATAGAAGATATAAAGAAGAAAAAAGTGGAAATGTTAGAACTGAAAAGTACAACAACAGAAATTTTGAAAAAACTCAATGGATAGGCTCAATAGCAGAATGGAGAGGACAGAGGAAAGAATCAATAAACTTGAAAATAGAACAGTAGAAATCACCCAATCTGAACAACAGAGGAAAAATAGACTTTTGCAAAAATGAACAGCATCTCGGGGACCTTGGAACTATAACAAAAGAGCTAACATTTGTGTCATCAGAATTCTAGAAAGAAAGAGGAAGGAGGGTAGAGCTGAAAAAGTACTTGATAAAATGGTTGGAAATTTCCAAAATTTTGTAAGATATAATCTACAGGTTAAAAAAGTTGAGCAAACCTCAAACAGAATGAACCTAAAGAAATCCATATCAATATGCAATATACTCAAACTTCTGAAAACTAAAGACAAAGAAAAAATCTTGAAAGCAATAGAGAGATATAATACCTTATCATTAGAGCAAAACCAATTTATATGACAGCAGATTTCTGATCAGAAACCATGGACCAGAAGGAGACGGCACGACAGGTTTAAAATGCTCAGAGAAAAGAATCATCAATCAAGAATCCTATACCCAGCAAAAAAATACCCTTCAGGAATGAAAGGGGGAAATTAAGACATTTTAAGAGGAAGTAAAACTGAGATCATTTATTGCCATCATACCTATCCTAAAAGAATAGCTAAAGGAAATTCTCTAAACAGAAAGAAAACAATAAAAATAGGAACATAAGGAAGAAAGAACACAGTAAGGAAAAGTATGGATAAATACAATAGACATTCCTTCTCCTCTTGGATTTTTCTAAATTATGTTTAAGGGTTGCAACAAAAATTATATAACATTGTCTAATGTGGCTCTAAATGTGTGTAGAAGAAATATTTAAGACAATTATATAATAAACAGAGAAGGGTAACGGAGCATAAAGGGAGGTAAAGTTTTTACACTTTATTTGAACTGATAAAATGAAGACTGTGATAAGTTATGTATATGTAATGTAATGCCTACACCAACCACTAACAAAACTATACAAAGAGATACACTCAAAAAATTATAGATAAATAAAAATTTCTAAATAATATTCAAGTAACCCAGAGGAAGGTAGGAAAAAGAAAACAGAAACAAAACACAGAGAGAACAAATAGAAAACAAAAGCTTAAGCTCTAATATATCAATAAATACATTAAATGTAAATGGTCTAAAGTGCCACTTAAAAGACAGAGATTGGATGATTGGATAAAAAAACATGACCCAAGGGCTGGGTGCAGTGGTTCATGCCTATAATCCCAGAACTTTGGGAGTCCAGGAGCTCAAGACCAGCTTGGGACACATGATGAAACCCCGTCTTTACAAAAAATAAAAAAAAAGTTAGCCCAGTGTGGTGGCATGCATGCACTTCTAGTCCTAGCTACTTGGGAGGCAGAGGCAGGAGCAATGCTTGAGCCCAAGAGTTCAATGCTACAATGAACTATGATCATGCCACTGTACTCCAACCTGGACAACAAAGTGAGACCCTATCTTAAAAGCAAACAAAAAACCATGACCATATGCTATCTATAAGAAACTTACCTGAAATATATTGCTATGGATAAATTAAAAATAAAAGGATGGAAGAGATATGCCTCATAGTTACTAATCTGAAGAAAGCAGAAGTGTCTTTATTAATATCAGATAAAGTAGATTTTAGAGTAAAGAAAATTACCAGAAACATAGAAGTACATTACATAATGATAAAAGGGACAATCCACCAAGAAGACATGGCAATCGTAAATGTGTATGCATCAAATAACAGAGCTGCAAAATATGTAAAGCAAAAGCTGACAAAACTGAAAGGAGAAAGAGGGAAATCCATAATTATCATTAAAAACTTCAATACCCCTTTCTCAACAATTGATAGATCAACTAAACAGAAAACCAGCAAGGGTATAGAAGAACTCAACAATACCATAAATCAACAGAATCTAATCAACATTTATAGACTACTCCATCCCACAAAGCAAAATACACATTCTTTTCAAGTGTCCATGGAACATATACCAACATAGACCATATCCTGAGCCATAAAATAAGACATTTAAAAGCCAAGACATTTAAAAGAGTTTTAGAATGTGTTATCTGACTAAAATGGAATCAAACTAGTAATCACTGACAGAAGGATAATAGGAAAATCTCTGACTACCTGGAAACTAAACAATATACTTCTACATAGATCAAAGAGGAAAGTCTCAAGGGAAAAAATTGAGCTGAATAAAAATGAAACTAAGTATATTAAGTCTTGTAGTATGTAGCTGAATAAAAATGAAACTAAGTATATTAAGTCTTGTAGTATGTAGCTAAAGCTATGCTGAGAGGGAAATTCACAGCATTAAATGCTTATATTAGAAAAGAGGAAAAGTCTTAAATCAATAATCTAAGTTCCCACCTTAAGATCCTATAAAAATAAGATCAAAATAAACCTAAAGCAAGCAAAAGGAAGAAAATAATAAAGATAAAACAGAAATCAGTGAAATTGAAAACAGAACAAAATTAAATCAATGAAAAAAGGAGCTACTTCTTTGAAAATTATTACTAATATCAATAAACCTCTAATAAGACTGACAAAGAAAAATGGAAGAAAATGTAAATTGCTACTACCAGGAGTGAAACAAGGGATATCACTACAGAAGCTGCAGACCTCAAAAATACAGGAACAAATCCACACACATAAATTTGATAATTTAGGTGAAATGAACCCATTTCTCAAAAAGTACAAAACACCACAATTTACCCAATATGAAATAATTTGAATAGCCCTATAACTTTTGAGGAAATTGAATTTGTAAAAACCAAAAACAAAACAAATAAACCTCTCAAAATAGAAATCTCCAGGGCCAGATAGTTTCACTAGAGAAATCTACCCAATGTTTAAAGAATAATCCACACCAATTCTGTAGCAATCGAGAGTGTGCAATTGGCAGAGGGAAAGACACATAGTCCAATAGAACAGAACAAAGAACCCAGAACTAGACCTGCCACAAACACGCCCAACTGATTTCTGATAAAGGTAAACAAAAGCAGTTCAATGGAGGAAAGGTAGCCTTTTTGACAAATGGTGCTGAAGCAATGGATATTCATAGACTTAAGAAAAAAGAACAAAAAACAAAATGAAGTTCAACCCCAGTCTCACACCTTACATAAAAATTAACTCCAAGTGGATCATGGCCTTAAATGTAAACTGCAAAAGTATAAAACTTTTAGTAGGTAACGTAGGAGAAAATCTTCAAGATCTAGGACAAAAGGAAGAATTTTTAGACTTGACACCAAAAGCACAATCCATAAAAGTAAAAATTAATAAATTGGACTTCTTTAAAATTAAAAAATTTGCTCTGCAGAAGACTTATTGAAGAGGATAAAGAGACAAGCACAGACTGGGAGAAAACATTCACAAAAACACATATCTGACAAAAGACTAGAGTCTAGAATATATAAAAAACTCTTTCAACTCAATAATAGTAAAAAGGAAAAAAAAAAGCAATCCTATCAGAAAATGGGTAAAAGACATGAAGATATATTTTACCAGTGAGCATAGCAAAGGGCACATAAAAAGATATTCAACGTCATCAATGCTAGGGAAATGTGAATTAAAACCAAGATGAGGTGCCATTACACATCCATTAGAATGGCTAAAATAAAAATTAATGACAATTCCAAATGCTGGAGAAGATGCTGAGAAACTGGTTAACTCTCACATTACTGATAGGAATGTAAAACAGTACAGCCACTCTAGAGAACAGTTTGGCGATGTCTTAAAAAATTAAATATGCAACTACCATATGGCCCAGAAATTGCTCTCCTGGGCATTTATCCCAGAGAAACAAAGACTTACTTTACACAAACCCAGTACCTTAATGTTTATAGCAGCTTTATTCATTCATAATGGCCAAACACTGGAAATAACCCAGATGTCCTTCAAAGAGTAAATGGTTAAACAAACTGTGGCCCATTCATGAGATGGCATACCACTCAGTAATAAAAATACACAAAATCTGGATGAATCTCCAGACAATAATGCTGAATTTTAATGAGTCAACCCTAAAAGTTTATATACCATATTATTCCATTTCTATAACTTGCTTCAAATGACAAAATCGTAGAAATAGAGAACAGATTACTGGCTTCCAGGGGTTAAGCAAGGGTTGGGGGTGGGAGGGGAAAGAGTTGTGGCTACCAAGGGGCAAAAACATGAAGTTGAGAGTGGAAACATTCTGTGTCTTGACTGTATCATTGTCAATACTCTGGCTTTGATATTGTACTATAATTTTACAGGAGGTTACTATTGGAGAAAACTGGGTAGGGTGGGAAGGGTTATACACAATCTCTGTTTTCTTTCATCTTTTATTTTTTAGAGACAGGCTCTTGCTCTGTTGCCCAGGCTGGAGTGCAGTGGCATGATTGTAGCTCACTGCAGCCTCCAACTCCTGGGCTCAAGTGATCCTCTCGCCTCAGCTTCCTGAGTACCTGTAACTATGGGAGTGCGCCACCATGTCCGGCTAATTTTTAAAATTTTTTTCTAGAGACAGAGTCTCACTGTGTTCCTCAGGCTGGTCTCGAACTCCTGGCCTCAAGTGATCCTCCTTCCTTGGTCTCCCAATCTGTTTTATTTCTTATAATTGCGTGTGAATTTCCCAATTATCTTAAAAGTTTATGTTTTTAAAATTATACAGCAGCAGTATGGCTGACTCTTCCAATGAAAATAACATTGGGCCCACCAAGGATAATCTCCTCCTCTTAAGGGCAGCTGATTAGCAAACTTAATTCCACCTGCAACCCAAATTCCCCTTTGTCCTGTAATCTAACATATTCCAGCCTCCAGGGATTGGGAAATGGACATCTTTGGGAGACCATTATTCTGCCTACCACAATGCATATCTAAAGAAATAAAAGTTTTAAAATACAAGCAGGGAATATGAGAGCATAAAAAACAATTGAAATAGAAATAAATAAAACAAATGGAACTTATGGAAGTGGGAAACATAATTAAAGTCTTGATGGAAGGATGAAACAGAATATTAGACACAATTAAAGAGAAAAAATACTAATACTATGAAGGATAGATTCAAACATTTTTCAGCATTTATCTTAAAGAGACACAGACATGGAAAATATGAAAGGGACACAAAATGGTAGAGGGTAGAATAAGTAGGTCTAAGGTAAGCCACCCTGGAGTCCCAAAATGAGACTAGGAGAAGGAGGGAGAGGCGATGTTTGAAGAGTTGGTGCTGGAGGATTTCCCACGGTTGTTGCAAGACATCAATCCTCATATCCTGGCTGTCCAACAAACTCCAAGTATAATAAATTAAAAGAAATTCATATCTAAGACATTACAGTAAAATTGCAAAATGTTAAAGACAGAGATTTTTTTTAAGCAACCAGAAAGAAAAGACAGATTGTGCACAATAGAATAGAATGGGGCTCTATAGCTCATTTATCAATAGCAATAATGGAAGCTAAAAGACAGTGATGACATTATCTTCAATATTCAGAGAAAACAACTGTCAACCTAAAAATCTACACCAAGTAGAACCATTTATTGAGATCTAAAGTTAAGTAATACATTTTCACAGGAATAAAAACTGAGTTTATTTCCAAATGATATTTTATTAAGTGCCTACCATGTGCTAAGCCCGCTGTATGAACTGTCACAGTCTTATGAGGTAAGCATGACAGTTCCCACTTTACATATGGGAAAACTGAGGCACAAAGAGACTAAGAGATTTGCCCAAATCCTTCTGATTCCAGAGTCCATGCTCTTTCTCTCTCCCCAGGGAGATGCATATTAGATGTTTGGACTTTCCAGGATACTTCCATTTCGGGGCTGGATTCAGGATGGATGTTTTGAAGACAGGAAGCTACCTCTTTGAGGAGACAGGGAGCTTTAAACCTCCAGAGCTCAAGAGCTTACCACTTCTATTCGGCACAGCTGGGCAAGTGTGAGCAAACAAGCCATCGGGGTGTGGGGAGGAAGACTGTCCCATGTGGTGTCCTGTGTGATGTCATGGAGGAGGGTTCTGGGAAGAGCAGCCTAGTTCCCTTCTCCTCCTCTCTTCTCTCTCCTGTTTTGCCCACTCACACTGACCTTGCAGGTTCAGTGCTCTCTAGGTTGGACTGTCGGTCCTACTTTCTTCCTTCTTGTGTATGTCTCCTGTGATCGTGAATGTCCAGAATCACACAGCCCGCTCAGCTGCCAACAACAGGCAGGGGAAGTCAGTGCCCATGGCCCGCCCAGAGGACAGGGTTCCCAAGAACTGCCGCAGAGCCCACCAGCCTTTGGAGCCTTTGCCTTGTGGCCCTCCCTAGGCCTCACCTTTTAGGGTCTCCTCCACCCTAGCATCCCTCTGCCCATTCTCTAATCCTTTCTTTCTCCAGCCCCTCAATGTCTTGACAGCAACGTCAGAGCATTAGTCAGCTCCAGGTTACCCCTTATACTATACGTGGTTTACGGTACCTACCAAGGCTACTGTCCCTTGGGGGACAGACTTATCTGTTCCCCAAGTGAGCCCAGGATGGGCTCCTGATCCAAATCTGTTGCCTGGGCTAGTGAGCTACAATTTAATGGCCAAAAATTATAAAGGCAGACTGGGACAGTTGGACTCCTCTCTGGGGATGTTGGGATGGGGCTGAGGCTCTGGAACTGAGCATATTGGGGGCAGGTGCTGGAGTTGGGAAGTCCTGGTGCCATGTTGGGCCAGATCTGAGCTGAGGAGGCAGGAAAAGAAGAAAGGGGTGAGGAGAGGCAGTGTGAGGTGGAAGAAGGAGAGGGAACACGATCATGGTGCACTCAGCTCACAGAGAGATGTGGAGACAATTGGGCTGGAAGCTGCCAGCATGTCCTTGGGGCAGGAGAGGGTCCTTATTCCCCAATACCCTAATCATGTGTGTCTCTCTATCTGTATATGATGCTTTTCTAATAAAAATGCTTTTTTCATATTATCTCATGTAACAAGGAAACAAGGCCTTAATTTCCTCATCTGTAAAATGGGAATAATAGTTATAAGAGATCATCTACCTGCCGGGTTGCTCTGCAAATTAAATGAGCAAAGGTCCAGCAGAGTACTCCTCTGTGTGTATACCACACAAAGGTCACTCTCCTTACTGTTCTGTCCTGTCCCCACTGGCAACATTTGATGCCCTGTTCTGGAATGGGCACTGAGAATCCAGTGACAAGAATGCCAGAGTGATATGACTGTCATGGTCCTTGCCCAGCCAAGGTCTTCCCAGTCCCCAGTGGAAGGAAGCAAATATGTAGCTTTTCTGCAGGAGGAAAGAAAAAAGAGGTGAGGAGAGAGGGAAAGAGAAGTGGAAATACCATTATTCTTAATCATTACATGCGCATTAGAATAATATGATTATTCAGTGCATTCTAATTAGCTTAATGAAATAATGAGTGTGAGAGGAGGCTGGAACTATAGTTTTACGTGGTTTACATCCCCTGGCAGGAGGCACAGGACCCTGTATTAGGACCCTAGGGCTCAGAGGCTGAAACGAGATGCAACCTGGGCCAACGGCATCCACCTGTAACTCCAGACAGGTGTGTTTGATAGACTGGGACCCGTGAAACCATGCACACAACCCTTGGCAAAGTTGAGGCAGGACTAGCAGAGGTGTGTTTTGTGAACTGTGAGTGGTATGGGCCTTGCAGTGGAAGAGAGGCTGGTAGGTGCGCGTGTGATTTGTGTGAGGCGTAACCCTTCCCATGTCGGGTATATATACCTATCTATCTGGGATATCTCAGGGCACCTGAGTTAGGAATAGAGCAAGGGGCACAAGGGCCAGAGTTAGTGGGTAAATGACTTGTGAATTTCAGGAGTCCCAAATAATTGGCTCTATAGAAGTTTTCTCTGAGAGGAAAACTACTCAGCCTCCCCACCTGCTACCCTTGCTGTCTAAGGGAGGGATGTTGTCTGCCTTCATGGTGGTGAACTGCTATGGACTTCGTAGTTCTTGAGACATATCTGCCCAGTGGCTGTTGACTGGATTCCTGGTTACTGGTGTGATTTCCTTCTCTTCCTTCCTTCCCTCCTCCCTCCCCTCCCTCCCCTCCCTCCCTCCCTCCTCCCTCCTCTCCTCCCTCCTTCCTCCTCCTCCCTCCTCCCTCCTCCCTCCTTCCTTCCTCCTTCCTTCCTTCCTCCTTCCTTCCTTCCTTTCTTCCTTCCTTCCTTCCTTTGAGAGGAGGACTGGCCAGTTTGGAGTCAGCATGGGCAGTGAAGTGGACAAAAAGAGGGAAGAAAATAGAATAAAAGTTACATTAAGTCCTTGGAGCCCCATGGACTGGGTGGATGTCATTTGGACAGCCTAGAAAAGTTATACTGGTTTAAAAAAATCAGTGTCTTACTATGACACAGGCTTAGTTCTCATTTATCCTGAATGTTATTCACAGGTCAGCCGGAGGCTCCACCTGGCGTCATCACTCCAGGGGCCCAGTTGATGGAGCAGCCGCCATCTGCATTAGTGCCGTTTGTGAAAGCACAGGGAAAGAGAGCTCTGGTAACTCAAAGCTTCAGGCCTAGCAGGACGTCCACTCATAACTCATTGACCAGAATGATCAGCAGGTCCCCACCCATCCACAAGAGGCCCAGGGAATGCAGTCCTACCACGTGCCCAGAAGATGAGAAGTTGGAATATTTGGTGAGACACTGATTAAGTTTAGGTGCTCTGTGGGCCAAGCCCATCATCAGGGACTTTCCAGCCTGTGGCCATCGACTCATCAACAGCCAAACATTTGCCAAACAGCTTTATTCTGTCTGTCACTGAGATTGGGTTCTGGGAATGCAAAAGTGAATAAGCCATAGCCCGATGTCTGTAGAACTTCAGGATTCACGGTGGCACGTAAATGAGCAAACAATTGGGACCCATCGCCGTAGGTGCTGTGATTGAGCGAAAGCAGGGTGCCGTGAACATGAGACCCAGACTGAGAAGTCTGGGCCAGCTTCTGGGTGGATGTGATATTGAATGGATCCTGAGGAGTGAGGAGGAGTGAGGCGAAGAAGAAAGGGAAGGGCATGCCATGCGGAGAGAGTGGTGTGTGCAACGGCACAGAGGCAAGATGCTTTCAGAGAAGAATAAAATATGGCGGCATGTAGGGTGTGGAATGCAATTGGTAAGAGATGATTGCAGGAGGGGTAGGCAGAGGCCAGGTCACAAAGGCCTTGTCTGCCATTCTAAAGACTGTGGACTTCATTCAGTGAGCAGCAGGAAACCACCAAGGGCTTGAGACACATTTTAGGAGCCACCCATTGGCTGTCATGTGAAAAAAATAAATCACTTAGATGGGGCAAGTCTGGAGACAAGGAGAACAGTTAGGAGATGGTGGCAGACAGTAATTCAGATGAGAGATAGTGGTGGCTTGACCCAGGCAGTGACAACGGGGACGGATGCTAGTACACAGAGGGGGTGGTATTAAGCCACCTGTCAATGGGAATACGACACGTTGACCAGTTGCACAGGATGAGCATTTGTGAAAGACAGGCCTGAACTTGTGTCATGCTTTGTTTCTGTGCAAGTCAGCTACATGTTGACTGCTTTAATTATTTTCTAGAACAAGGCAGGGCATAAAGCTATCATTCAATATGTCAATACTTCCTGTCTGCTGGCTCTGCACAGAGGGTTCAGCATGAACAAAGCCCAGCCCAGGCCTGGAGGAGCTCATAGTCTCAAGCCAGGTTCCTGACTCCGGCAGGCTGAGAAAGGGCAGGGCGGCTGGGGAGGTGGAGAGGGGACCTCCGGGCTTCTCTTACACAAATGCTACCCAGCCTCATCTATTCCAGCCCCATATCTCCAAAGTCCACCAAATCCATGTCCCAACTATATTATTATTTACTTAATATCTGTATTTAAAGTAACTTATTTTTTAGCTTTATGTGCCTACTTTAGCATCTGGCTGTGAGATCATATGTTTGGATATGTTAGTGATATTTTTAATGCATATTAAAATAAAATAAAGCAAAATGAAATGTTAAAATGTCCAAGCCACCGAAAAACATTTTGCAACCACACTTTGAGAAATGCTGTCACCTAAGGAAGGGCCTATATAAGGTTTGCTTCCTGAGGGCTAGATGACCTCCCTTCACCATTTTTATACCCAATCCTTTTACACAGATGAAGCCCCTATGTCCTGCCTTGCTCAAGTTCTTTTTTCCCCCAGCTACCTGAGGCTTCAGACATTCAATGATACACTTGCTAAGGGCCCTGTGGGCAGGGCCTGCTCCATGAGCTCATGGGGGGCACCCAACAGCTACATCCTTACTGACTTGTCAAACGCTGTTGGACAGTGTTGGATCACGGGCAGTTGGCGATGTTATGGGAATTGCTGGCTTACCTGGCCCCCCGCTGGGATGGGGAACGTCATTCGGGTTACAGGCGCCACCCTCGTCTGGGCATGTGCACAGAGGAATTCGCTTGGTGTGAAATGCTAGGAATTGTCGATGTGCATGACATGCTCTCAGGGGGCCTCAGAGTTCTCTCGGATTTCGCCAAGGGATCCCAGTTGCTGGGCATGTGCCTCTTTCTCCCAGGAGCAGACAGTGAAGCTCTGTAATGTTGTTCCCTGTTTTTCTATTAAAAGCCTCGCAGCCAGTTCGTAGACTGATTGACAAGGCTGTGTTGTCCACAGACACGTCCTGGATTCAGTATTCTAACAGAGTCTCATGAAGGTCACTGATTACAAGCACCAGGCATTGACACTGGGGAAAAGAGGATCTTATTAGAGTAACACTGGATAGTTTGCAGAACTAAAGAGGAGATGGACCATTTTACCTCCAGCAGGGCAGGAACCTGGGTGGCTGGGTAGTTGGAACCACTGCAGGTCCTTTAGGAGGCTGCCATCGTGGGACCCTGTGGCACAGTCTGAGTGGCAGAGCTCGGGTCCTGGCCCCACCCCTCTGGGGGGAGGGCAGCAAGGTTGGCAGCCTCTCTGCCACCAAGTGGAAAGGGAATAGAGAAGTGGGTGCTGCTGTCGTGAAGAGAGACTAGGCATGCTGGGCTTGAGAAAACCACCATGTCCACTACTGAGTCACGTAAGGAATAACAGAAAACTGGAAGATAACTTGGAGTCCATTCAGCCGACCAGTTAAGGATTAGGACATTGAGACCCAGACACTCACTTGGCTCGCGGGCTCTTCAGCGGCAAAGCTGAGCCCCCATTCAGGCAGATCCCCTGACTCTCAGAGCTTCTATTTCACACTCTGTGTTCAAAGCAAGAAAATATCCAGCAGCTAAGTCTCTGGGATCTTCTCCTCACCCCTGCAGGTGCGTTTCCGTTTGCATCTTCTTAGGTCATCTTGGCTCGGATGGTTCAGTGCTCCGTGAGAGAGGGTGGGACAAAACCCCCTTGACACCAGTGGAAGCCAGCTCTGTCTGGTTGACCTTGGGCATGGAAAGGACCCATATTGCCCTGGGCAGGGGACACTGAGAAGGACATCTGGGTCGGGTTGACTCCTCCCTCTCACCAAGCCCAGGGTACCCAGCTACCTGCAGTTTCGGAAGACACCCCAAGGAAGATGAATTGTGCTGTTGACTCAGAGCAGAAGGGGACTGAGAGCCTGTGCCTCTTCCAAAAGCAAGGCGCCGTCTGGGGCCTGTGACGTGCAGTGTGCTGGCTTCATTGCTCTGACAATATGAAGGATGTTTGGTTTTGTTCCCAGCGCTGTTATCATTTATCATCCTCTCGTACGAGCTGGCACCCTCCGCCTGTTCCCCCTTCCGTCTCGCTCTCTCCCAACCCCCACCCTCAGTCCCACCTCCCTGTTCTGCCTGTCCCCCTGCCACCGAGGGGAGCCCTCTTGTATTTACCCCAGAAGAAACTCTCCCACGCGGATTCCCAGAAGCCCAAGAGACTCCCCAATGGACTTCCACTCATAGACCTTAGCTGAACAAATCTTTTGGGTAAAGTGCTGTGCTTGAGGCTTTGGGTGGCTTGAGGCTTTGGGTGGTAAAACGTCTGTAAGACAAGGCCCTGCCTTCAGGGAGTCGTATTCCACAAGGGACGAACTGTGGTGTCCTAGGCAGAGGGCGTAAAGGACAAAACCCGGAGACTTAGCGGAGGAACCAGGCGTCTGGAAAGGATGGGCAAGGCGGCTCGGTGTTCTTTGCAAGAGCAGGGCGGTTGGGCAGAGGATGGTGGAAGACACAGATGTGGGGGAGGAGGGAGTGGGGAGGCAGCCAAGGAAAACAAGAAATATCTTTGGGGAAATGACTGAGAGCAGAAAGGAAGAGCTGAAGGCTTAGCTGGAGGAGGAGCTGTTGTGTTTGAGCTGGTTTGAAGGTGGGCGAGGGAGAGTCAGTGGAGTGGCAATTCTGGTGGCACATGAGAGAGGAGGTGATTGGGAAACAAAGCCCCAAAGGGACTGGCGAGGCAGGTCGAGGTTGTGGGAGGGCTGGCTGTGGAGGGAAGTCAGAGGACATCTTTTTTTAAGAACAGGGGTGAGGCAGAAGTTGGTGTGTGACGATGGGGGAAATTTTGTGATAAAAGGAAGCTGTGCTGGCTCCACCTTCTGTGACTCAGGAGGTGAGGTCACCTGCTGGGGGATGGGGTGGGTTTGGGACTTTAAGATTCCTGGGAGTTGGGATATCCACTGAGGAACTACTAATGGGATAAAAGAGCTGTCTACCATTGAGCCCCTGCTGAGATTCAGTCTCACCCCAGGGCCTTTGCATATGCTGTTTCCTCTATTTGAAAGATACTGCCACCCACTCTTTGCATGGTTAGGATATTCTCACCTTTCAGATCTTGGCTTAAATGGCACTTCCTCAGAGTGGCCTTTCCCAATAATTTCATCTAAAGTAGGTCTACCCCCACCTCCCATGATTCTCTGTTTTGGCTCCTTCTTTATCCCTTTCTAGCACTTACATTTGCAATTACTTTATCAGTTTGTTCATCTCTCCTCTTCCTTCTCCTCCTCCTTCTCCACCTCCTCCTCCTCTTCTTCTTCTTTTACTTCAAACTGGTATGTAAGCCCCAGGGGACCAGGGACCACATCTGTCTTGTTTATTACTGGATCTTTGATGTCTAGCCAGATGCACAGCAGGAACTCAATGAATGCTCGTGGAGTGCAGGAATGAATATTGAAGAATGTGTGTTTATAGTGGAGCCCATCAGCCAGGCTGAGAAGTTTTCCCCAGGGTTGGGGACTGCAGGTCTCCAGCAGGTCAGCTGTACCAGGAGCCCAGGGTGACTAAAATGTTAGACAGCGGGGAAGCTAAGGCTGGGGGCAGGCATGGAGCCACACTGCTCCCATCTCCCTGCAAGAGAGAATTTGCTGCAGCACTGCAAGGGGTGGTCAGTGACAGCCTGCAGCTACGGCACCTTTGGGACCCACCACATAGTCTGAGTTGAGGCCACACTTTTCCTGGGCAGCCCCAGCCAGTGACTGAGCACTGGCCTGGCAATTTCTTTCCAACGTAGGACTTCCCTAACGGACAGTCTTTCTTCAGAGGTCCCTACTGGGGTGGCGAAGACTTTGTCAGTT